GGAAACTTGGAAGAATGATGCATGAAAGACAAAGAGGGACCTTATTTCATGGATGTGGGCAACAATTATGATGGTCAGTCTGGAAGGGAACTGTGGCCAAAGCACAGTCAGGGTCCTTGCAGGGGGGAGATTTATAGCCTAAGGGAACATGTGGTCTGGAGAGGGAGAGTGTTACTATGGGAACAGCCACCCAAGCCTGGCAGAAAGGTATGCAGAATTCAGGGATCGAGAGATAAGGACCAGGGATGGTCAAGAAAAGTTGGGTAACTACGTCTAGACTAGGTCTCTACAGTGGAATAAAATAAGCACACATCAATTTCTTAAAATATAAGAAAAACATGTACATGTATAGTTAATACATGTGATCAAAATTAATGGTTAAACTTAAATCAAAACACAACGTCCACTACAATATATCTGTAAAAATGGGGAGCTCTATAAAGCAAATTTGGTGTCCGTTTTGATGAAGTTTCTCTTTTAGGTGTGGAAAATTAGCAATAAACTATAGTTATACGGTGCATAAATGTTCACCGTAAGATGTACATATGTATTAGTGCGCTTGTACATGGTGCCTTGTGGGGTACCGGAACAATGGAAGGTACCCCACAAGGCCAGTTTTGATCCTTGTAGGGTATTAAAGTGGTACCCCACAAGAATTTCACGACATAGATATTTCAAATTTACTCAAAAAGGAGGAATTTTTAAGTGCCATATTCATCCGTCGCAAATTGAAGTGTTTTATTAAAGGGACACACGGTCGAAATTTCAACCCAAGAAACTAAATTTGGTTGAAATGGCAGTGATTTGAAATATTTTCCGTGCTGTGTAACATTAAGAGAATACTCAAGATCTTTTGCTTACTGGTTTAGAGTGCCCGTAATCAGTGGGCATTTATATGTTTTGAGAAAAAGAATCTGGAAATCTCACTCCATGGGAGCTTTCTGCGTTTTGTCGAGACTAAAATCAAATAGCTTTTCAGAGGTGTTCCATTTAGCCAGAAAGTCATTGAAATAAATCCTCACGCGTTTAAAGTACACCATGTTGTCTTGTGTTTCTTTGCTATTCCGTTTAACTCAATCACAGGATTTACTAAATAAACATTGGATACCAAGGGAGGAAGTTAATGTTTGTATTCAGTGGAAGTATTCATTGTAGTGTTACAGAGTCGTCCTCATTTTCTAAAGTTTTACTTGCATTCTCGACCATCCATTGTTTTGGCAACACTTGTTCACAAATTTCGCACGGATAAGAAGTTGTTTATTTTCACAATCTTAGTGTTCCATAAGCACACCATTGCGGGCCGAGGAACTTTTAGGATACTACTGTGAAGGAAATACGTCCCGGCCATGTACGCGCAAAGCATTTTTGGTTATTTGCTGCGGTTATTAACGCATGTATTGGCATGGTGCAGGCGTCAAAAGCGCTTGTTATCGCTCAAAGGATCTCTGTCCCATGAATGCATGATAAACATGCTTAAACAAGACGGAGTGACGTAACACTTTTATACAGTGCCACTTGTATATTCAATTTAACACTGTTTTATTCTGTCAATGGTCATAAAACACAGTAGGTATATGCAGACATTGTAAAAAACATACTAAATTATGTTGGACATGACTTGTTCAGAAGTTTTGATGTTTCACTGACAAAAATCTTGTCCGACATATAAATATAGGTCGTTCTTCCACAATTTATGGAATTGTTCTGCCCTTGTTATGTTGTAGTCACAGTCATTTGTTTTTATCTTTCAATAAAGCGGAGACATTGAAAACAATACTTACCCAAAGTGTAGGCTGATCAGGTACCGAAAAAATTAAAGGGCCCCATGTAACGTCTGTGTTCTATGTCAGAAATCTGGTTCAGTTCGTATGCAGTTGAATCTGGAATCAATCACACCACTTCTTTTTCACCCTAGATATTAGCATTTACAGTATGAGCGGCGTTTGTTATGATCAAACCGGTCTGTTTAATGTCCCACTACCGATACTATGTAAAACAAATAAGGGTTTTGATTGCTACATATGTTCGCAATCCGGTTAGTATACGGGTTTATCAGTATTACACACTACAACGTCATTTCTATTTTAATTTCTGACAATTATATCATATTTTAACAAAATTTTAACAAAATTTGCTTTTTGTAAGGCGCGCCATACTCACCTCTGGTAGAAATGGGACTTCACAAAATAACCTGACAGTTTAAACTCCCTTGATAATGAAACAACACTCGGTTATCTATCAAAAACCAATATTGTAGTCAAGTACATTTTGAGTACCAAGTCAATTAGCTTAAGAGGGAAATAACCTGCCGAACATGGAC